AGAATATATATTTCCTGAAGAGGGAGAATATATATTTCCTGAAGAGGGAGAATATATATTTCCTGAAGAGGGAGAATATATATTTCCTGGAGAGGGAGAATATATATTTCCTGAAGTTGGAAAATATATATTTCCTGAAGAGGGGGAATATATATTTTCTGAAGAGGGAGAATATATATTCCTGAAGAGGGAGAATATATATTTCCTGAGGAGGGAGAATATATATTTCCTGAAGAGGGGGAATATATATATCTGAAGAGGGAGAATATACATTTCCTGAAGAGGGGAATATATATATCTGAAGAGGGAGAATATATATATCTGAAGAGGGGAGATATATATGTTTCTTAAAATAAAATTATATAAAACCTTCACACTTTCTTTTTCAAAGACAGAAAATAAACCTGAGAGAAGAGACAAGAATCAAACACAAACTTTCCAACAAAAAAATTAGAGTTAAGAAAAAACAAGAAAAAAGGCATTCTAAACAACATACTTGTAATTACAAATTACATTCTAAACAACATACTTTTAATTACAAAAAGTGTGTACAACATACAACCAAACTTTTATTTTGATCACACCAAAACAAATTATTGATATCAAGCATCCTAATATACTTTTCGATAACTCATGCCACAAAACTGAAATAATAAAAGTTTAAAAAACTGCTGTTTATTTTTACCTTTTTACAGTTTTGAATAAAAAACTGACGGAAAGGATACCTAAAACAGATATTTTGTTTTGTGAATCTCGGAATTAAGATTTCGATCTTTTTCAGACCTTTGAATTTGATTCTTCTTTGATACCCCGTGGTGGGCTTGGGCATGCCCTCAATACACATCGAGATCAAGCATTCCAGATTAACAATACTCCGCAGAGAATATAAACTTGATGTTATCTCTTTTTATATCTTGTCTCTTCCTTTATATTTTGAATTAAATCGAGTAAAGAATTCAAGTTTTAATTAAATGAATCCTAAAGTTGTTAAATAAATATATATATATATATATACAGATATATATATAAGCAACACAGTTTTAGATCATTTTACCCATGTTTGCTCGTATAAGATTTGGTGCAATTTATATTCTTTTTTCTTATTATAAATGTTTCAAATAAAATTAAAGTATATGTTTCCCTCTTTTCAATGAACATATTTTGTCAGGGGCGTACTCAGTAATTTGCTTAGGGGAGGCTTATATTTTTTTCTTTCTTTGGCTCAGCACCCGTCGGGGCCTGGAAAGCCCATGGAAACCATAGATTTTCATTATCTTGGGGTGTGGGGCTCAGCCCTCATAGCCCCCTCCCACTGAGTACACCCCTGGATATTATCCTTGTTTCCTGTACAAGGGTTTTAAGAAGACGGGAAAGTTTTACATAGTTTCCAGTTCTGATTAATACTCAAACATTTAGCAAACATCTAGATAGATAGTTAGATAGATAGATAGATAGATAGATAGATAGATAGATAGATAGATAGATAGATAGATAGATATTATATGAAATGATATTTTTTAGATGAGTAAGTCGTCTTTATGAATGATCTTTACTGCAAACAGCCAAACCTTTCCAAACAAGGTAAGTTTAACATATAAACAGAAGGATCCATAAATCTGTGGAATAGGAAGACGACTTTATGTGTATTTTCTGGAAATGGAGCAAATAGTGTTGCAAGTTGATTTAAAATCAACTAGGTAAGGGAAATAATGGATCCCAATATACTGCACAATATACTGCACAATATACTGCACAATATACTGCACAATATACTGCACAACATACTGCACAATATACTGCACAATATACTGCACAATATACTGCACAATATACTGCACAATATACTGTACAATTTTTTTGTTTTATTTTCATCGGAATATCTAAACCATCAGCATGTACTGCTGTACTGCTTGTGCACTGTACTGTTCAGGAGGAGAATGAACTGCTGTACTGCTAGAGTAATGTACTATTCAGGAGAAGAATGTACTGCTGTACTGCTAGTTTACTATACTGTTTAGGAAGAGAATGTACTGCAAGTGTACAGCAATTGTACTGCACTGTATAGGAGTATAATGTACTAAAAAGTGTACTACTATTGTACCGTACTTTTTAGAAAGAGAAAGTACTGCTGTACTGCTAGTGTACGGTACTGTTTATGAGGAGAATGTACTGCTAGTGTACTCCTAGTGTACTGTACTTTTTAGAAGGAGAATGTACTCCTGGCGTACTTCTAGTGTACTGTACTGTTTAGGAGGAGAATGTACTGCTAGTGTACTGCTGTACTGCTGCTGATGACGAGTCAAACTGGAACTTCACCATCTGGGTAAGAATAGTTATATTTATACTAGCTTGGGAAATCAGCGTGGCCCAAGGGAGTCATAGTTATTCACACCGTTTACCCGCAACTTGTCTTAAATTTACCTTGATTAAACGAATAGATTAATAAATTAATAAATTGATAAATGAAAAATTATAAAATGACGAAATGAATGAAAAAATGAATAAATAAATAAGTGCATTAATAATCAGATGAAAAATTAAATGATTAAATGAATAAATGAACAAATAAATAAATGAATAAATGAATAAATGAATAAATGAATAAATAAATAAATGAATAAATGAAAAAAGAATAAATGAATAAATGAACAAATGAATAAATGAATAAATGAATAAATGAATAAATGAATAAATGAACAAATGAATAAATGAATAAATGAATAAAAGAATACATGAATAAATGAATAAATGAATAAATGAATAAATGAATAAATGAACAAATGAACAAATGAAAGGATGAATAAATGAAAGGATGAATAAATAAATAAATGAATGTATCTAGATGGTTTGAGGGGGAGAGGGGCGGATGCATGTATCCCCCCACAGTATGGGACATAATAATAAGCCAGGTAAGCAAATCAACCCCTTAACCCTATTACAATTGATAACCCTATCACAAATGTTAACCCTATCACAAATGTTAACCCTATCACAAATGTTAACCCTATCACAATTGTTAACCCTATCACGATTGTTAACCCCATTACAATTGTTAACCCTATCAGAATTGTTAACCATATCATGATTTTTAACCCTATCAGTATTGTTAACCATATCATGATTGTTAACCCTATCAGTATTTTTAACCCTATCATGATAGTTAACCATATCATGATTGTTAACCCTATCAGAATTTTTAACCCTATCATGATTGTTAAACCTGTGTTTTTTTTCAAGTCAAACGGCGGGTCGGTGTTTAATAAAAATCAGAAATAGTTATTCACGTTTTACAATAATCAAGCTACAGGGCTAAAATTTATGTAAAAGAAAATCCCTCATAAAATGGATGGAATAACATGTTTCACACTTTAATATTTGTCAAACGTAAAAATATCTATTTCAAAAAAAATTTTATGTACTTTTGGAACTTTTCAAAAATCCTCCCTTGCTCCCTAGCCATTAAAAATAAAGGTCTATGTAGGTTCATGTATTACAATCTCTTATAATTGAAATAAACTCCGAGTTATTTTCAAGGGATTTTTACAAATTAAACGTTTCTGAAATCAGTCATTATGTCATGACGGATATTTGGACGAAACATTTAGTAATTTGATTGACACAAACGTAAATTTTGATAAAAGTTCTCATATCTTTTTTTTAAAAGTATTAAAGAAAACTGGTGTGAAGTAAATTTGAGAATTCCCCCTTATTCATACATTTAACATTTAACCTCTTGGATTTTTTGGAAAGAATGTTTAAAATTAGATGATAAAAGACGTTCATATTATTTTACTGGGTGAAGGTTATAAATTGTTCTTTTTGCTCCTGCCATGTGAGATTTCGTAGGAAGTTTTCCCTAGATATTTTGATTAATTTGTTGGCGCTCGCCCAGTTTTAAATTCAAAATTTTATTCTATTTGTATTTTCCTTCTCCCCCCCCCCCCTCCAAACCATCCTCCATTCTCTCAACCTTCAACTAGGGCTGGGCAAAGTTAAGTTAACAATTCTTTTCTTTTATCTGAAAAATCACGTTAATTAACGGAATTTCTTCAAATTCACTTTACAAACTTTGTTAACGAAAGGATTTTTTTCAACTAACTTAAATATTCCGTTGAAAATTAAAATGTCTAAAATTTTACCTTAATATTCTGTTAACTAACCAAATTAAGCGTATAATAAAATAGGCTGACAGAATTTCTTAACATTAGCCGACAGTTTTTCTTAATTAACATAATTTCTTAAAACGGGAACCACAGAAATAGTTTAAGATACAATTTGTAAAACGTTAAGCCCAATTAAAACTAAATGTTTTCAAATAAATCGAGTCTTTGTCATAAACTCTAATTTTCTAATCCCTTTATCTTTGCAAACCATCAGGTAGCAAAGATTTAAGGATTAGAAAATTTGAATTTTTGGCAAAGACTTCTTTAAGACTGAAACCCGTAATCACGAGATGTACCTAAGACTATAGTGAAAATGTTCGTTAAAACTTCACAGAAAAATTAATTAACGACCACGAAGAACGCCAAGATTTAAAATCTGATGGATCGTAAATGTTGATGTCTCACCCAGACCAAACTGAATCTTGTAAATGTATATATTTAAGAAGGACATCTTTTGCTTCTATGATGTAAAAATATAATGTAAACAAGGATACAAAAGGAGAAGAGGATGACTAGGTCTTCTCTGGTTCCAAGATCTGACACTACTGATTTGCGGATTTTGTAATCCTCTTTCGGGGATTTCATTCCTACAATATTTGTGTAACTTTAATATAATTAACTGTCCAGGAATGAATTGTAAAAAGTCTTTAAGGTTCCAAGCGCTACCTCCCACCCCTATATCTTTACATGGTTCAATTATTCCCACATCTCCATTTTCTACTGTTAATATTTAGAATAAACACAACAGGATGTTCCCATATACATAGGGATTGAGAGACAATTTGAATATCGTCTTTGATTTCCGATATTTGATAAATGACATTAAAAGCTTTAAAAAATAGAAAGTCTTATGAGTTTTTTAAAATGTTGTCTTCCTTCTTTGTAACTTTAAAATTAGCCAAGATATTAAAATTTAAACAGTTTTTTTGATTTTCAATAATCTGGAATCTGGACAAATTTCTGAACATCACTCTCAGTTTTGAAGGTTAGACCACTTTTTTGAAATCCCGAGACTAGCCGTTTTGGATGGTAAATGTTTTAGACATTGGGATCTAAGTGTGTCAGGAAAAAAATCAATATAATTGCAATTATTGATTAATACACTCGAAAAAGAATTCCGTTCTTTTTGTTGGCTGAGGTTAATTTGAGCCTTGCATATTATGGGATAACTCAAAAAATGCTTCTGGTAAAAATTAGTTGTCAACCTTAATTTGGTCAATGACAAATTTGCCCTACAGAAATTGAGTCTTGGCTACAAACTTAAATTCTTAACTCCCGATATCTTTACAATCTGATGGTATATTGATTATTCGATCTAACAGAATTTATGGTTTTAAATATCTAAGGTCTACGACATTGTATTGCAAAGATTTAAGAATTAGAAAATCAGGGTGTGTGACAAACCCCATTTTATTTGATAAAAAAAGCTCAATTCCCATTAAATTCAGACTGAAAAATTTCCGAAACCAGACTTCGCAAATGTTTAGGACAAAACCATGTACCAACTTACCAAGTTGTACAGTACACATGTTTAGGACCAAGCCATGTACCAAGCTTACTGTTAATATGTTTAGGATCAAGCCATGTACCAAGTTGTACTGCAACTGTACATATATTTTGGACCAAACCATGTACCAAGCTGTACTGTACATATATTTAGGACCAAGCCATGTACCAAGCTGTACTGTACATATATTTAGGACAAGCCATGTACCAAGCTGTACCGTACATCTATTTAGGACAAGCAATGTACCAAGCTGTACTGTACATATATTTAGGATCAAGCCATGAACCAAGCTCTACATCTATATATAAATTTGGCTTGTCTGTTTGTCTGTTTAAAACAAAAAGAACATGTTCACAATTTAAATAGAAGATGGGAGCGAAGCTCCCTAAAAGCCTAGTGTTCATATTTTAGGACCAAGCTATGTACCAAGCTGTACTGTTCATATATTTAGGACCAAACCATGTACAAAGCTCTGCTGTACATATGTTTAGGACCAAGCCATTTACCAAGCTCTACTGTACATGTGTTTAGGACCAAGCCATGTACCAAGCTGTTGTAATTGGGTGTGGTCCTGCTGCTGTTTCCACTGCAGTGGATCTGTTTATATAGACAACGTTGTTGCCCAGTCCCCCACACACAATACTAGAGTTATTCTGGAATACGAAGCAGGTAATTTAAAGGAACTGTACGCGTAATTTCAAGCGATCCTCTAAGAGAAGATGACAATGCCCGATTCACAACCTTTATCTGATCAAGAATGTGGAAGATATTGTCGTTTTTCTCAGTAGAACAGTGTTTATTATGATAATTACTATGATGCACTTCTGCAGTAAAAATGCATAAATCGCTTATGTAGAGAAAACACAATAATCACTTTTCAAAACGATTAACAAAACTTACAGGGTTCCATGCATGGACTGTAGGGCTGGGCACGTTCCGACTTTTTTGAAATTGTTCCGTTCCGTTCTAGAACGTGGGCCTTCAGCTAAATTGTTTCGTTCCCGTTCCTGTTTTTTTATCGTTCCGTTCCGTCCCGTTCCGTCCCGTTCCATTCCGTTCTGAGTAGAAGAACGGTCTTCCCGTTCCGTTTCGTTCTTGGCGTTCTTAGTTGAAGAACGATTGCATCCCTCTTGTTCTGTTCTTAATTAAGAACGTTTCCATCCCCCGTTCCGTTCTTAGTAACGAACAATTACATCAAAGACAAAAGTTTTATAGAAAAGAGTTGGTTAAAAAGTAAAAANCTTTAGAAGTTCTCATTCATTTATTTACTAATTTACTAATTTGCCATTTATTAACATTTAATAGATATATTCTGTAGCAATATTAACAGATATATTCTGTAGAAATATCAACAGATATATTCTGTAGCAATATTAACAGATATATTCTGTAGGTATATTAACAGATATATTCAGTAGAAATATTAACAGATATATTCAGTAGAAATATTAACAGAAATATTCTGTAGAAGTATTAACAGATATATTCAGTAAAAATATTAACAAATATATTCTGTAGTAATATTAACAGATATATTCAGTAGAAATATTGACAGATATATTCTGTAGCAATATTAACAGATATATTCTGTAGGAATATTAACAGATATATTCAGTAGAAATATTAACAGATATATTCTGTAGGAATATTAACAGATATATTCAGTAGAAGTATTAACAGATATATTCTGTAGGAATATTAACAGATATATTCAGTAGAAATATTAACAGATATATTCAGTAGAAATATTAACAGAAATATTCTGTAGAAATTTTAACAGATATATTCAGTAAAAATATTAACAGATATATTCTGTAGAAATATTAACAGATATATTCAGTAGAAATATTGACAGATATATACTGTAGAAATATTAACAGATATATTCTGTAGAAATATTAACATATACATTCAGTAAAAATATAAACAGATATATTCTGTAGAAATATTGACAAATATATTCTGTAAAAATATTAACAGATATATTCTGTAGAAATATTGACAAATATATTCTGTAAAAATATTAACAGATATATTCAGTAGAAATATTAACAAATATATTCTGTAGAAATATTAACAGATATATTCAGTAGAAATATTAACAAATATATTCAGTAGAAATATTAACAGATATATTCTGTAGAAATATTCACAGATATATTCTATATGTAAAAATATTAACAAACATATTTTGTAGAAATATTAACAGATATATTCTGTAGAAATATTAACAGATATATTCTGTAGCAATATTAACAGATATATTCTGTAGCAATATTAACAGATATATTCTGTAGAAATATTAACAGATATATTCTGTAGAAATATTAACAGATATATTCTGTAGAAATATTAAGAGATATATTCTGTAGAAATATTTAAGCTTTTCAAATTCTTAAATCTGAAATGTTTAAATTTAATATTTGTTGATGTTAAATAGAAATTTTAAAAATTCATCATTAAAAAATTCACCCACCCATTCCAGAACTTTTCATGGAATATATTCTTTTCAAGAAATTCTCGAGAAATTATAAAGACTGAGTGTCAAGAAATTGCCAAGAAAATCCTCTAATTTAGTTGAAGTTTTCTCGAGGATTTTTTAGAAGAATTTCTAGAAAATGATTTGTTAAAGAATATTTTCCGAAAATGATTCGAAAGAATTCCCGGAGAATTAGAGAATATTTTCCGTCCTACGGGAATTTCGGAGGATTTCTTTTGTGAATGTGATTTATGCAAATATATGATTCTAAAATAAGTAATAATTCAGCCTCTTTTTTAGCAGACGGAGCAAATCAGAACTTGTACGGGAACCACATAGAGAAGGAGAATCTTATAGGAATTTGTCTTTTTTCTTCAGATTTACATAAATGTCGTCTTTGTTTTCTAGAGTACAATTTGAAAGGATAGATATTGAGATAGATAGATGGATGGATTGATGGAAACATAGATAGATAGATAAAGTTTATTGCTGAAATACATGTATCCAAATAGATTACAATAGATGGCAACGTAGAATTTGTACACTCTCAGTACAGCTGTATTCTGATGTCACAAGTGTCAACTTAGTTTTTGTGACGACAAAATTATTAATAATGGTGATAATTTTAGAATAAAGTGCTTATCTTGCAGTAAAATAGGTGCAATTGTATATGTTCTTTAGTTCTGTTTGAAACTTTTTTATTTAATCTTGGAAAACATGTCAACTAATGTGAAAAAATTTTGTTTTCCTAGTTATGTTTGACACTTGTGACGTCGTGTATAATTTGTCCATTGTCTCTATGGCCACCTATTGTACTTTGTACTATGTACCTATTTGACATGTACCTGTGCACAGAATGAGGAAACAATTACAAATTAATGATTATATTAACAATACAAGTATAAAGCAATTAGGTGGAAAATAGCTCTTTTGATTTTTTGTTTCTCCCAATTTGTATAATGGTAACAAAACATTTCAATTAAATAGAACTTGTACGGGAACCACATAGAGAAGGAGAATCTTATAGGAATTTGTCTTTTTTCATCAGATTTACATAAATGTCGTCTTTGTTTTCTAGAGTACAGTTTGAAAGGATAGATATAGAGATAGATGGATGGATAGATAGATACATAGATAGATAGATAAACTTTATTGCTGAAATACATGTATCCAAATATATTCTATTACAATAGATGGCAACGTAGAATTTGTACACTCTCAGTACAGCTGTTCTCTGACGTCACAAGTGTCAACTTAGTTTTTGTGACGACAAAATTATTAATATTAGTGATAATTTTAGAATAAAGTGCTTATCTTAAATAAGTGCAATTTTATATGTTCTTTATTTGTGTTTTTAAACTTTTTTTCTTTAATCTTGGAAAACATATCAACTAATGTGAATAAATTTTGTTTTCCTAGTTATGTTTGACACTTGTGACGTTGTGTATAATTTTTCCATTGTCTCTGTTGCCAACTATTGTACAGAATGAGGAAACAATTACAAATTAATGATTATATTAACAGTACAAGTATAAAGCAATTAGGTGGAAAATAGCTCTTTTGATTTTTTGTTTCACCCAATTTGTATAATGGTAACAAAACATTTTATTTAAATAGATTTAAGAAGAGAACTAGGAGAGATCAGGGATTTCATTTTTTGCAAAATAGTTTATTCGTACCTTGTTAGAAGAACTAGATTTTAAAAGAAATTTCTGACATGAACACAACAAATATCAAAACAATTTTTATTTGTAACAAAATTTCTGAAAAATTAATTGTCTGAGCCAGGAAATGTTTGATTCACAATGGTACCCTTTAAACCTTTAAAATATTAAGTTTTAAAATTATAAACTATATTTCATACTTGATCAGATAAAGCGTGTATGGCCTTCTTTGCTTGTATTTATGTGCTCGAAATAATAGATTGAAAAAAAGATTTCTTTATCTAAGAAGAAAAATCTTTTCCTTTTCCATCAAGTTTTCAAACTTTGGGATCAAATTAAAATATTCTTTTAGAAACTCGGTTTCAAAGAAAGTCATCAATGACCCGTGAAAAGAGATGAAATAATTGTTTAGACAAAACTGATCTTATTTTTAATAATATTGAACTGAAGAGCTACCAGAACCAGAACTATCTCCATTCCCACCAGGAAAATCAAAAACCAGAGGTAAACTGTATTTCCACCAGCCAAACTGGATTTCCTAAACAATGTACCTGATTTATTTCTCTGTAAGGATGTTCAGCGCGTATGTTTACGTACAGTACATAATGATATATGAAATATTGTAGCTAACATTTTTAATAAATCTGTTCATTTTACAGTACCTCCACGATCTTTTGTCAAATGACCCTATGTCTTCTTTTATAACTACCATGCTTAATGCAATATCTCAAATGTGTAAGAGTATAATTCACAGAAAAAAATGCTTAGATCAGAGATCAAAGGAAAAAGTTCTCTGAAAAAAATATGATTTTAAAATATAACCAGAAACAATGGAAAGGCAGAGAGTCCGCCAGAGTTCCGGCTTTCCATGATTCATTAGTATCATTTTTATTTGTTAATTTTTTACTTAAAAATACATATTTTATATACTCTGTAGATTTACCCACATCAGTTTTAAGGCTTTAGATTTCCTTTATTTCATTCCACTTTTAAATGGTAACAATATTTTCTTCCAGCAAGAAAAAAATGCAAAGCAAGAGCTAAAACCTTCAGATTAAATTCCCTGAAACTAAAGGAATTCCATTTACTCAATTTATAAAATTGTGTGTCTGTGAGAAATGTTTAAATGTATAGTCTGTATCAAGGACCAGATTGTGTGTCTGTGAGAAATGTTTAAATGTATAGGTTTGTATCAATGACCAGATTGTGTGTCTGTGAGAAATGTTTAAATGTATAGGTCTGTATCAAGGACCAGATTGTGTGTCTGTAAGAAATGTATAAATGTATAGTCTGTATCAAGGACCAGATTGTGTGTCTGTGAGAAATGTTTAAATGTATAGGTCTGTATCAAGGACCAGATTGTGTGTCTGTGAGAAATGTNCCCCTGTAAAAACCCCACTTTATAGGCTAGCAAGTAGATAACTAGCAACCCCCTGTAAAAACCCCACTTTATAGGCTAGCAAGTAGATAACTAGCAACCCCCTGTAAAAACCCCACTTTATAGGCTAGCAAGTAGATAACTAGCAACCCCCTGTAAAAACCCCACTTTATAGGCTAGCAAGTAGATAACTAGCAACCCCCTGTAAAAACCCCACTTTATAGGCTAGCAAGTAGATAACTAGCAACCCCCTGTAAAAACCCCACTTTATAGGCTAGCAAGTAGATAACTAGCAACCCCCTGTAAAAACCCCACTTTATAGGCTAGCAAGTAGATAACTAGCAACCCCCTGTAAAAACCCCACTTTATAGGCTAGCAAGTAGATAACTAGCAACCCCCTGTAAAAACCCCACTTTATAGGCTAGCAAGTAGATAACTAGCAACCCCCTGTAAAAACCCCACTTTATAGGCTAGCAAGTAGATAACTAGCAACCCCCTGTAAAAACCCCACTTTAGTTTTATTTCAATATAAGGCCTCAGGCCACCAATGCACAAATACTGGATATTTTTTTCATTTTCTTAAAATGTTCGATTTGTATAATACGAAAAAATCTGCGCTGTTTGTGGCGTTAATTTTGCTGTTTACATCAATGATTATAGATGTAAATCTCAGAATTCAGGAAGTTTTTACTGGAGAGGATCGAATGGTATTCATTTAAATTGAAAATCTAAATGACACTTTTGGACAATTCCTAGAAGCAAGGAAGGCTATCCGCACTCGTTCTACCTCCGACTCACTTAAATGTCGCCCAAACACAGAATGTTGGCCAAGGCGCAGCACAGTTGAGCAAAGAAAGCTCTCTGGGAAAGTGTTAAGCCGCGCCCGCAAAGCCATATCATCTTCCTTTAGCCCATCAGTAATCAGTATATTCAGAATATATTAAAAGAAAAACTTTCCATCAAATTATTTAGTTCTACCCAAGTTTAATCTAAACAATTTGTCCATCTATTTAGCCTGCATAGATAAAGCCTAATTGAATAAACTTGACCAAATTCATTGAAAAAATATATTCATTCAAATAATATGAAAATATTCATGCCCTGTTGATTTTTGATAAATCTGTTACTTACTAAATCTGACTTCATCTATAACACTGGATATAAACCTATTATACTCATATATTCAAATCCATAAAATTATATAGTAATAACTCAATAGCTTATTACTTAATTTATTGTAATTTAACTAATTAAAATGACAAAAAAAACTCACAACTCTATTTCTAAATAGATAACACAATATAAGAGCTTCCAGCCAACTTTGACTGTAAAGATGCACTTGATTCAGCATTAAATCTGTATAAATATGTTTACTCGCTTAAAGTACACCTACACAGGCAATAATGGATAAAAAATTAATCAGCTCTCTTTTAGAGAGAATCTTGTGATTTAATTCTGTAAAATATTGCATTTACAAATATGGAAATACTTGCAAATAAGTGCAATGATGAAAAGTTCTAACCAATATTATCTCTGAAAGTGTATCAAAATAAAAATGAATATTTTTCTCAGGTGTTCAAGGACGAACTCTGTTATAGAGGTTACAGGGATAGATTCGACACTGATCTAGACAGAGACAGGTAGGCATACTACAGTGGACTAGGGTCAATTTGAATTCAATTTTTAAATCTTTCATGATTTTTAAGCTTTCAAGAGGATCCTCGAAAAAGTACTGACTCCAACAAATCCTTTATTTTCTACCATTATTCAGCATTTTTCATTGTGTGCAACAAAAGAAAATGTGTATACATTTTTAAATATTATCATACTGAACAGACTTTTGTGAAAGCAAACAACTGGAATGTAAAAATTTTTATTTAAAATGACTTAATTAAAGAGCTCATCATTACAAATAATATACAGAATGTCACACATTATAAATAACCGTTTCTCTTAATTAGAGACTAATCAGAAACTTCAAAAAGAATGAAACATTTAAAAAATTATATAAGGCTAAAAAAATGTTGAAGCTTGGAGATAATCTAATATGATAACAGAGATATGGGATGCTCTGTTCTTCCCTCCTTTTAAGTATTTGTCTAGCTTTTTCTCCAATGTCTTAATTAGTTTTTCTTTTTTAATATGTCTAACAGAGAAGGGGTGGGGGATGTGCAGGTTAACATAATATTTTCGTTGGGTTATGTTAATATTTTTATTTTACATGTGAAATTTTAACAAAATCTATTATTTAGTTACAGTGATAGAATGAGTTTAGCTCCCAGTGAAGCCTTTATGGAATCAGACCAGGTATTTTTAATATGATTACGTAATTTAACCCTAAAAATAATGTTAAATGTATGCTTAAACTATGTAATTTAACCTTAAAAATAATGTTAAATGTATGCTTAAACTACGTAATTTAACCTTAAAAATAATGTAAATGTATGCTTAAACTACGTAATTTAACCTTAAAAATAATGTAAATATATGCTTAAACTACATAATTTAACCCTAAAAAAATGTTAAATGTATGCTTAAACTACATAATTTAACCCTAAAAATAATGTTAAATGTATGCTTAAACTACGTAATTTAACCTTAAAAATAATGTAAATGTATGCTTAAACCACGTAATTTAACCTTAAAATAATGTAAATGTATGATTACACTACGTAATTTAACCCTAATAATATTGTTAAATGTATGATTAAACTAAGTAATTTAACCCTAATAATATTGTTAAATGTATGCTTAAACTACGTAATTTAACCCTAATAATAATGTTAAATGCATGCATAAACTACGTAATTTAACCTTAAAAATAATGTAAATGTATGATTAAACTACGTAATTTAACCTTAAAAATAATGTAAATGTATGATTAAACTACGTATGCTTAAACTACGTAATTTAACCCTAATAATAATGTTAAATGCATGCATAAACTACGTAATTTAACCTTAAAAATAATGTAAATGTATGATTAAACTACGTAATTTAACCTTAAAAATAATGTAAATGTATGATTAAACTACGTAATTTAACCCTAATAATAATGTTAAATGTATGCTTAAACTACGTAATTTAACCCTAATAATATTGTTAAATGTATGCTTAAACTACGTAATTTAACCCTAATAATAATGTTAAATGTATGCTTAAACTACATAATTTGGCCAAAAGATAAAGATGGCCTTTAAATAAAACAGTAGTCATTGTCTGGCCCTTCCATTTTGAACCTAATTATGTTTTTTTTGGATATAGTCGTAGAGGGTTCGCCACATGCATTCATGGAAATCTTGTAAATCTTATTTGAAAAATACAGTGATAACCAGAAAACAATGGAATAGGAAGACAACATTAAAGCTTATATTTGATTATGTTACAAAGAAATAGTTTTACATTACTAAATCCTTATTAAGTGAAATGGGTCTTTTTACACTGCACTTTGCACAATTGCTGTGTGTTCTGCTCATTGGAATATTCAAAGTCATATCTTGATTTTGAAAGTTAACTTCTTATTTCACTGTATGAGTTTTAAAATACAGGGTGTCCCACGAAACATGACAATTGGTGAATAGTTTAAAATGTCTTATTTTATAATTCAATAAGTTGTTTGATAACAAAAATGATGATAATAATACTAAATGGCAGTAATATCATAGTAAAATTGATTTCAAACAAATACAAGTTTGAGTAAAAGATTTGTTTAACGAAAAAACTGCAAAAAGTCCTAAATAACTAATACAGTATCATGGAAGACGACATTGAAAACTATTCACCAACTGTCATGTTTCGTGGGACACCCTGTGGATAAAAAATCCTTTAAGAAGATGTGTAACTTATTTAGAATGGTCAGCATCCAGCATATCTAGGAACCTATCAGAGAATTAGACATATGAGTGGACTTAGGTAAAATTTAAAGAAGTTAATTTACGCAAAAAAAAATATTTTTTAAGATCTAAATATTTATTCTCGTAAACAGTTAATTCTGCACTAAACAGTGTTTTTACAAATTTACAAGTTCAGCATAAATTATTGTATAAAAAATTTAAATTTTTCTGATAATTGGTTTGTAGGGTATTGCGAAATATTAAACTATTTTTTTCAAGGTTTTTACATTGAATGAAAGGATGTGATAAATAATTGCTATTTTGTTTCAACATGTGTCTCTTTTAATCACGAAGAAATGGGATTATATATTCTAAAGGAAATGAGTTTTTGCCACAAACTCTTACTGTGTCCCCCCGAAATCTTAGCAACCCGATGTCGTAGACCTTTAATATTTCAAACTATGAATTATCAAATAGTTTAAGTTTGAAATAACATCGGTTTACACCATCTGGTTTCAAAAATATAAAGATTAGAAAATTTGAGTTTATGCCAAAAACTCAATTCCTTAAATCACAAATATTTTGAAATTTAAATCAAGGGTCTTTAGACGTAATTTCAATTTCACCTTCCCTTGTCGGATCAAAATGCATAATGTTCTGTTTAAAGTTAGAAAAATCGCGAAATCTTCCACATTTATAATCAAATAAAAGTTGATTAGAAGGTCACTCTGAATTGGCAGAACAGTTCCTTTAGAAATGAATTGTACTAGTATTATGATATTTTAGTGAAGGACACTATACCGGGGCTTACAGCAACCAGTATCCAGGTATTGGAATTCAAAAAATATGCATTTTGAAAAAAAAAAATATTAAAAAGTTTTGTAAAGCATATTTTGTTAATTTGCAGGTTGCCGAGATGGGTCAATCAATGGTTCTTTTGGATCACCTGAAACAGGTACAGGTATGGGAACGGATAAAGGGGGTACGGCTTTGGGGACTGGTATGGGCATCGGTACTTGTAAGGGTCAGGTACAGGTCTTGGTATGGGAACGGGAGGTATGGGTATAGGTACAGCTACAGGTAAAGGCACTGTAAAGTTATTTTTTTGTAGGTAGATACAGTAGATACAGCACTCTTCAAGAGAGATACAGATATGGGGATACAGGAGAAAGGTATTTTTTGCAATATTTTATGAACTTTATCAGCTTTTAAATTTTTCTTTTTTTTTTAGGCAAAGTTGTTATGAACTAAGGAGCACTTTGCAAAGGTAAAACTTCTAATTAAATATTATTTAATTCCCTGGTGAATTAGTTTCATTTCCAAAAATTAATTAGATAAATTGTTTAGTTTGCTTAAAATTTAGAATATTCTAAACTAAAAATAACAAATTTAAGAATTTTTCAGTAGTTATACCAGTTCATTTGTTGGGTGGCGCTGCCACCAGGATAGAACTGTGAATACCAACAAATGCCGCCAATTTGTGACAATTGCGGCTAAATATTGAACTACTATTATTACAGAGAAGAAAGAGGATTAACCCCAATCCTTCCTCTTCTACAAGGAAGAGAGAGAGATGAGGAGGAGGAATCAGCTTATAATGAACATTTCAAGAATGAGATTGGCAAGGTAAAAAAATGATTAATCTCTCTGGAAAGATGATGACAGATGACAGATGACAGATCAGGGAACAGACATTAAAGTATGGCAGGATATTGTTAAACCTTAAAGACTAAGTTGAGCAACTTCTCCTAGTGTTCAACTAATAAAATAGAAATTCACCATTTCTGATTTTTTTAAACATCGACCCCCTGTTTAATTGTCCTCCGATGCACCGAAAAAAATATGTGCTTACTTAACTATAAAGTTGAAAATGTGAAGAAGTTTTAGCATTCTAATGGACAACACGGTACACCCCCCCCCCTCAAAAAAAAAATCGTGCTTAGCAGGATTTAGTTAAATCATAAAGACTAAGTTGAACCAGTTCTTTTGTGCCAAGTCAAGCTGAAGAAAAGTGGTTGAACTAAGACCAAGGGGTTAAATTATGTCTCGTTATTCATTGAATCTGACTCTAGGGTAGATTAGGAAGAGTAAGAGTGGATCAAAGACTGAATTTAAAGAATTTGAGCCACACCTTAAATTTTAGACATGGCTTAATCACGGTTGGTTCCTCTTG